ACCGCCAAGACGCCAAGAGCGCCAAGAATGCCTAGGTCTTAACCGACTCAATCGTTGGGTCTTGAGCTACTGCTATTTATTTCGCAACACGCAACTGATTCCAGACGATGTTTGCCGAGAGGACACCAACCACCCAGATGGGCATGACAATCAGCCATGTCCTAGTCAATGGTCCCATATGCCAAGCTGGTAAGACTTCTTCGTCAAAGATGAAAGCCGACACGGGATAGCCAAAGTTCCATACCGGCCGATCGGGATTACTCCCTGTGTATCTGAATTGCGGCGGTCCCCAAGTGGGCCAAACGGTCGCGATCACTAAAAGCGAAAGGTGCAATCCATGAAATAGAACCTGCCGCTTGGTCAATGCAGTGATTCGGGGTGGTATTGGTATTCTCTCTTTCATGGCAATCCCTGGCGTTCCTGGCGTCTTGGCGGTTCCTCAACCCCCGAAGCCGCTATAGCGCTTGAGCCCGCGGTGGAGCGCCACGCGCGCCGCGACGTAGAAGAACACGATCCACACGGCTAGCAGCACCACGTTTTGCCACAGCTCGGGGCCGGTGATCTTGCCGAGGTAGACCGCTGCGGGGAAGTACGCCAGGAACTTGAGCGGTTGGAACCACAAGAGGTTGGCGACCCATTCGGGCGCCGAGTCGGTGAGGAAGTCGAGCGGAAACATGTGGCCGGAGAAGAAGAAGTTCGCCAGCATGTAGACGAACAGCAGCGAGCTGACTTCGAGGAACCAGAAGCCGATCATGCCCAGCAGCGCCTCGAGGTAGAACCCCAGCGCGAAACTCATCACTAGCGACAAGAGGAACGCGGCCCAGGTGGTCGCGTCGGGCCATTTCTCCGGGAAGTAATCGCCGCAGAGCCAGAACACCAACGCGAACGGCGCCGCGGCCACCGCGTAGTAGACGATCTTATGGGCGAGCCGCGCCAGCAGCAGGTACTCCAGCAAATCGATCGGCTGGATCAGGAACTTCTTGATCTCGCCCGTCCGGATCTGCATCGCGATGCCCGACGCCAAGCCCGGCATGCTGCTGAACGCGCGGCCGAGCATTGTCAGCAGGTAGTAGGCGATGACGTCGTTGCGGGTGAAGCCGCCGATCGACGAGCCCGCTGCCTTGTAAACGGCCGTCCAGAGGAAAATCTGCGTGATGATCGGCAAGAACCGCATCAGCGTCCCCAGGGCAAAGTCGCCTCGATAAACGAGACGCTCTTCGACGCAGGTCCGAAAGATGATCCACGCCGCCGAGAGGCCGGTCGGCTGAGCGGTTGCAAGAGGCATGCTGCGTGGGTTCGTGAAGCAAGAGTTGGGGAGTGGCGTCTAGCTGGCAGGGACTACCGATCCTTGGCCTTTGGGCCGAGATTTTCCAGTGGTCGACGGAACGCCCACGGCCAGCCACAATAGAGAGTCCTGCTCTTAACCGCCCCGCAACCCGCCGCTCGCCGCCCCGGTATGACGCGACTCTTGGCCCGCGCCCTGACCGTTACGGCGTTCCGCCTGCTGGCCATAGGCCACCTTTCCTTAGGCCTCGCCCTTTGGGGACTGGTTTCTGCTCCGGCGTTGGCGGCCGAGAGCCCGAAGATCGTCGGCGCCCACCTGGGCCTCGGCGACGGCTACAAGGTGGGCTTTTGGGCGCCGCTGCGGGTGGTCGTGGAGGGGGGTGACGCGCCGGTCGGAGTCACCGTCCTGGCGATCACCCCCGACAGCGATGGCGTCGGCGTCGCTACCACGACACCCAGCGCCCGCCCCTTCTCCACCCAGCCCGGCGTCAAGTCGGAGGAACGGCTCTATGTGTGGGTCGGCCAGCAGAACGCTCCGATCGAGGTGCGGATCTACGCCGACGGTCGGCAAGTCGATCGCCGCGTCTTCCCGGTCACCAACGGCGACTTCGAGAAGATCAAAGCCGGCAAGGAACTGCCGCTCGCCAACTCCGCTATCAACCGACTCTTCGTCCAACTGGGAGCGGATGTCGGGGCGGCGTTCGAATCCGACGCGGAGGGATACGGCGCCGTCGGCAACGCCGCGACGTTGATCACCAATCCCGAAGACTTGCCATACGATGCGATCGGCTACGACGGCGTCGATGCGGTTGTCCTGACGACCGGCGCCCGTGCGTTGGATGCCTCTGCGGGCTGGCTCGGGCAACTAACAGCAAACGACCCGCGCCTCCGCGCTCTGGTTGAATGGGTCCGCGGCGGCGTCCTCCGGCAGGGGGAAG